CTTTCTGCCGCTTCTACAGGTGACAACATATTCAAATAATATGTCAATTAGTTACAATTCTACCTAGTTATAGTTAATCTTATACTTTACGTCAACTTTGTATGTTAGGTTTGGGCCTGGGAGCGATTTCTACAGTTTCAGCCACCTCTACCACAACTACCGGCTAATGTAGAAATTCCGTATTNCTAACAGTTTGTGTTCTTATTTGATAGTTCATCTGGACACCGTACAACGATGAGGTGATAGGTATCCTGCCAGCGTATTGCACGTTTGGCCGACATATTTGGAGGGCTTCTGTCCCGCTCATATGCCTTGATTTTGTCGAGCATCATGCCTCCAAGCGGGTATTTCATAAGGAATCTCCCTTGAATGAAACGACACTTCGGACTCGTACACTCTTCGTCTAGGGGGTCTCTCTTCAAATCAAGTCCTTCCTCCTCATCCTGCGCATCACCATCCTTACGAGGAAATGGTGTCTCGTCTCCGGATTCATCGGCATTGTTATCATAATCACTGTTTTGTTCCTCAGTCTGTGCATATGCCAGATCCCGATGTAATATGTCGTTTTCGGGCAATTGAGTGAGTACGGGTGGTTTAACTTGCTCGTTTTCACTACACAACCAACAAAAATATAAGCTACTGAATTAATAAATGCTTTCTATATGGCTATATCACTTCACTTACAAGTCATAATATGATGAAATTCCATGATAGACGTTTTCAATTAGGTGATGACTACCAGATGGGCCACTTGTAAAATTCATATCCGGCCGGTACCCCCTATTAAATATATGAGCGTTAATACAAATTCAATACACCAAAAATATACATAATTAACACAAATGAAAATTGAAGTTTACCACTCGTCTTGTGAATTATGGAAAGCAGGGTATAAATTATTTTCTCGCTGCTCATTTGCCGGAGATGATAAGTTTAAATCAAGGAAAACCCTTTCATTCGGAACCTGTCCGGCAAAAAATGCTTCAGAATAACCACCCGATGACTGGGGGGTTATCTCTACTACGCACAACCTCATTTTTTGGAAGGTCTTCGGCCTTCACGTACATCTCCAACATTGTGATTACAAGAAATTCCCAGCATTCATCCGGAGTCCTTAGAAAATTACTCAAAGTTTCATCATCGTCGATGTTAAACTCCGAGTAAAAAGCAACCCCTTGCGGAGTGACGGAATACGGATATCTTCCGGTTATTTTAAGTATCATTGAACGTTTCCTCACACTCATTTTTTTGCATAACAACAATATCAATTTATCGTACTCCATTGTAAGTGGCAATTTAACATGACACTGAGCAGGTAAACTGTAACCCACAGAGTTATTCTCCATCACAACCTCACCCCCCAATATAATGAAACTCTTATTCTACGCTCTTCAGACATAACGAAAAAATGCTGGAGAATTTAACAATAATAAATGTTTCAACAAGAGTATGGAAATGGCTAGCCAGGAAATTTCTACGCTATACACCTTTTGAATGAATTTCTATACAATCCTAACCTCTTTATATAAGAAATGGCTAGCTGGGAATTTTTTTTATATATAGCGCCCAAAAAGTGAGCACTATACGCTTTTGAATTATTGAAGTTAGGAATTATTGGTGGGGCCAGAAAAAAGGTATATAGCGCCAAAATACTGGACGCTATACATAAAGTTTTATGTATAGCGCCGGGTATTTGGGCTCTATACTGTTAGTATCAGCTTTTTACATATAGCGCCCAAATACTGAGCGCTATACATTAATAGCACAGTTAATGTTAATGTATAGCGCCCAGTATTTGGGCGCTATATATAAAAATGTCATCTTTTTTTTACACCTATTAAGGTGCTACTTGTCCAAAAGAACCACATTTTGGTTCAGACTCCTGAAAAGAACTCATGAATGAACTCTCAGTGACATATGCTAGGACTCTGAGTTTCTGATAGATAATATCAGATCATCATACCAGTCATCACACCAGCAGATCTACTCAACCAATCCAGCTTCACAACATATTTTACCTTTGATACCTATATTGGGCTCGGCTAATCTGCTCGTATAAGGCCTATTAAAAGGGAACTACTCTCTCCTAGAATTTTTTTCATACACAAGGCATGAACCGATATCTCTCCTATCCGACCCATCACAACCTTTGTGGTCGGTGAAATTCATGGTTAAATACAATTGATAATTAAAGTATTCTTTTTCATTTTCAAGTTTAAACACTCATTTTTTTCTGGTTCAAGTAAATATTGTTTAAAGCCTACTTTTTGCTTGTTTGATCAAGCTTCTCCAACCCAAAGCACTTTGTAAAGAAAAAAAAGTGCTTCTTTTTTTCAAAGTTGAAGTGTTTGGTCAAAGCTTTTAGAAGAAAAAAGAGTATTCTTAAGTAGAAGCAGAAGTAAGTCTGGAGCAGAAAAAAGTAATTTCTCCCCAAAAAGACTTTTGAGAAAATTACACTTACAAGCACTTTTTAAAAGTTTGATCATGCAATAATTACTGCTAAGAAGTATTTTTCAAATTAATTAATCAAACACAAACTATTTTAAGAAAAATACTTTCTCAAAGTAAACTATTTTAGAAGCTAGGCTATTAATTATAGTTCAAGTGGAGAACCTATGACACTATTTTCTTGGATTCTATGTATAATTGGAATACCTATTCTTTTGTAGTAACTTAAGATTTCTAACGAATCATATAATATACGTAAGACAAGAGGGGTTGCTCTGATGGTAAGCAACCTCTATTTTCAACCAAGAGGTTGTGAGTTTGAGTCTCCCTAAGAGCAAGGTGGGAAGCTCTTGGAGGGAAGGATGTCGGTGGTCTATTTGAAAATAGCCTCTCTACCCCAAGGTAGGGGTAAGGTTTGCGTACATACTATCCTCCCCAGACCCCACTAAATTGGATTATACTGGGTTATTGTTGTTCATATAATATACGTTGTACCCCACGGAATGAGGTCATATTATATAAATCCATAGATGTATGAGTGTAATGTTTTAGATTTACTGATAGCCTAATAGAAACTATTCGATCGTTTCATTTTTTAGATATTAAAATGCAAAAAATGGGCAACGGATTTGATCTACTTTTTCTAGTCCTCATGTGCAACTACGTAGATCCAGGTAGATCCTCGTCTGCGACCAATTTCTACTAGGCAAAATACCTTAAATTACTCCTAAATTTGGCTCAGATTATTAGTATCCTCCCCGAATTATGCCCGGTCTTAATTACCCCCCTAACTTGGCCTTTTGAGGGCCATTACCTCCTAGACGCTGATGTGTCAAAAGGTGTAGGTGCACTTGTCTAACACGAGGATTTTTCTGTCTATGTGACATTTTTCTGAAAAATAAAATATTTTTTTACCTTTTTAAGTATATTACTTTTTTAGATAATTTTTTTTCGAATAAAATTTATAATAAAACTTGGATATAACTATCTTATTTAGGCTAAATATTTTTATTTGGCCAAAATAATAAAGTTTTAGTTAATCTATTTTTGAATTTGACCTGTAAATAAAGATTTATACAATTGAAATAAATAGTCAAGGCATCTTAAAAGTTATAAAAAATACACAGTTGAAATAAATAGTCATTGCGTCAAAAGAAGAAATAAAAAGAGTGTACAATTGCACTTGTAATTTCTTGCAAATGTACACTCTTTCTATTTCTTCTTTTGATGCAATGACTATTTATTTCAACTGTGTATTTTTACTTTTTTAGGTAAAATCTGTAAAAATAAAAATAAAAATTTAGATCACCTTAATTTAGAGCTATATAAAAAATTATAGCCAAATAATTAATTTCAAACTATGTATATTTTATAACTTTTTAGATGCCTTAACTATTTATTTCAATTGTATAAATCTTTATTTTCAGGTCAAATTCAAAAAAGATTAACTAAAACTTTATTATTTTTGGCCAAATAAAAATATTTAGCCTAAATAATGTAGTTCTATCCAAGTTTTATTATAAATTGTATTCGAAAAATTTTATCTAAAAAGTAATATTTTTAAAAAGGTAAAAAAATATATTTTATTTTTTAAAAAAAATGCCACATAGACAGAAAAATCTACGTGGCAGGCAAGTGCACCCACACTTTTGCGACATCAGCGTCTAGGGGGTAATGACCCTCAAAAGGCCAAGTTGAGGGGGGTAATTAAAACCGAGCATAGTTCAGGGAGAATACTAATAATTTGAGCCAAGTTTAGGGGTGATTTAAGGTATTTTGCCATTTCTATTATTTTAGGAGATATTATTTCCTCCGCTCCCATTAAGTTGTCAAGATAAGGTTTTACGCGCCCATAAAAAAAAAATTAATAAGAAGAGTAATTTGACTAATTTATTATTTTTTCTAATTTTTCTAATTTTTGTCTATTTATGTACCTCTTAAATATAGAACAATTAATATTAAGCTTAGAGTTTTAAAAAAAGTAAATTATCTATATTAGTTTTCTGAATTAATAAGTGCTACTTATTTGGGAATAAGTATTTTTTGTATATCTGACATCTAAATAGATTCTCTTTTTTTATTTCATTTTAACAGAGAGAATCTTAAGTTGAAAGAGAAGTCCTTCCCTAGATGATACCTGGGTAGCTGGTATCTCAATAATTGCATAAAAAAATAGAAACTGCTGACATGGCCTCCTAATAATAATGTGAGTACTTTAATTAACTCCAGTGTACAAATAGAGTAACAGAATTTTAAAATTACCTGGTCTCTTAAAAAATACTTTTAACTGTTTGACTACAATAATACATAATAATTGAGATTATTAAGTTAAAATAAGATATAATACAAACATGTTACAACATATTTTAGTACATTGATAGTCCAAAAGTTTTTTACACTTTTACTGACATGAGAAAATTTGCAAACTTATAATATAATTCGTATAGTTTTTGAATATTTAAATTTTTATTAAAAAATATTAAGTTAAGTTAATCTACTTAAACTTACTCCATAAGCAACTGATTATAAATTCAACTTTCCATATTCTTTCCTAGCTTTCCGGCTCTTAGTTTATATCTTCCCACATTTCCTCACTCTCACTCCGTCCCTTCCTTCTTCTCTCTAAAAGCCTCTCTTTCCTCCTCTCTATAAACCTATCTTTTCAACCATGACCAATCTCTAGCAAAGCTGCAAAACAAAACCCTACCAAGAAACAAGAGAGGAGATCGAGAACAAAGGGAAGCATAACAAAAAGGAAAAAATGTTGCTTGGAAAGAGGCCAAGGCCACCAATCAAAAGAACAACAAGCATGAAAGAATTCACCTTGGATCTCAACATAAACGATCCTTCTGTAGCCGTTATAAATTATCAGCCCTTTGATCCTCTCAACCCCTACAACTTCACTGGTCCCGTCCCAATGCCCTCCAACGGCCTAGATCAACGCTTAATCTTGACTCGCAGAAGATCAGCTGATTTCGTTGGAACTGCCCATTTCCTTAGAGCTTGCTCCCTCTGCAAACGCCAGTTAATCCCTGGTCGTGACATCTACATGTACAGGTATACAGATGTATACGATTTAACTTATATACCCTGAGAAGGAGAGCCTTGGCGCAGTTGGTAAAGTTGTTACCATATGTGATCAGGAGGTCGCAGGTTCGAGCCGTGGAAACGGCATCTTGCATAAATGCTGTGTAAGACTGCGTCCAATAGACACCTTCTGATCGAATCCTTCTTTGAACCTCGCGCATAGCAAGAGCTTAGTGCACTGGGCTGCCATTTTTAACTTATACTTGTTTTCTATGTTACTAATTTCATTTATTATTGCCTATCACATGTAGTTATTTTCTAGGCAATCAGATAATAAAATTAATTTATTCTATCAATTTATAGGGGTTGAACTCTTTACATATATGTAGCTAGCTAGTTATTTCTGTATTCTTTTTTGTTGAAATCTATAATAAACTTATTTGTGGTTGTTTTTTTTTTTTCAGAGGAGATAGTGCTTTCTGCAGCCTAGACTGTAGAGAAAAGCAGATGAAGCAAGATGAAAAGAAAGAGAAGTATCCGAAGGTTGCAACTAGGAAAAAAGTTACTAACTCAGCCGCCATGGCCGCCGTGGCAAGCGGAACAGGATCCGACGCTCCACCTCAGGCCAGACCGTAAGCCGGTCGCCGTATAGATTATTACCTATATATAATCACGTTGTTGAAATTAGATAATGAACAAATATTCCAGCTGATGTTCAAGTACCCACTCTTATACATGCTATCAAACTATATATGTATATAGATGTGGGACTAAGATGATGACGATGAATTGTATAAATATTTCTCTTTACTAAACTCCATGAGCAGGTGGATACTGGGCAAGTTTTGAAAGTTTTCATTTAAAGAAGGTGGATCCAGTATTACTTTGTGTGCAACTTCCATTTCCAAGTCATTTTCTTTTGTTTTGTTTGAGCTGTAATCATGGGTTAATGGATCGAAAAAAATGGTGTAGCAGTTTTTACTACTCCAAGTTTTTGTCTTTTTAAGTTTTGGAGTCTTTAGTTTTTCCCCTTCCAAGTTTTGGTATTTATTACTCCATCCGTCTCAAATTATATAGTTGTATCAAATTATTTATCATTTTAGAAGTTTTAGACATAATCAATTATTTTTTCTTCACTTTACTCTTAACCGTAATTGTTTTTGAAAATTGAAAGATCATATCTTAAAATATAAATATCGATAAAATAGTCAAAAAATCCTTCTAATTAAGGGTTTTTAATGGGTGTATAAAGAGAGATACTACAAATAATTTGAGATCTACCGGGCAGATCAATAAATGATGTGACGGTTGTGTAACATGAACTTCTCTCTATATTTTTCTTTTTCCATTTTACTCGGTAGAAAACATGATCTTTTTGTTTATAATAGTTCAGTAGGGTTTTAATAAGAGATTCCTGGTCACGTGTGAAGAATACTAGTACCTCTTATACCTCTTATTGTGGTACATCAGGAATAAGATCCAGCCTTTGTTAGCTCGGTAAATAAAATATTCATTTTTTTTATTTTAGTACTGCTACCAAAATTGGATTTAGGTTATTGTTCTTATTTTTCCTTATAATTTGTGGACGAAGCATTATTATCTTCCATTTCAAATACAAGTAGTGCCTTTCATCTTGTTAACCTCTCACTCACAGTTTTTTGGACATATTGGGGATTTTTGTAACGACCCTCCCGGTCGTTTTAAGAATTAATGCCCAGATCTCCTATTAATTACTTTCCCCGTATTTGTTTCTGCTATTTTGATTTGCCGGGATGCTTGTCTTTGAGTTTCGTAGAGTTTTGGGACACTTAGTCCCTAAATGAGAGTTTAAGTTTTAGAAATTGGACTGTAGTCGGAGCAGTATGAATACGGCCTCAGAATGGAATTCCGTTGGTTCCGTTAGCTCCATTGGGTGATTTCGGGCTTAAGGGCATGTCCGGATTGTATTTTGGAGGTCCGTAGCTAATTTAGGCTTGAAATGCTGAAAGTTGAATTTTTGAAGTTTCCGGTTCGATAGTGAGATTTTGATATCGGGGTCGCAATGGAATTCCGGAAGTTGGAGTAGCTTCGTAGTGTTGAATGTGACGTGTGTGCAAAATTTCAGGTCATTCAGACGAGGTTTGATAGACTTTTTGATCGAAAGCGTAATTTGAGAGTTTTGGAGTTCTTAGGCTTGAATCCTATGTTAAATTGGTATTTTGATGTTGTTTTGAGCATTTCGAAGATTGGAACAAGTTTGAATGATGTATTAGGATTGGTTGATATGTTTGGTTGAGGTCCCGGGGGCCTCGGGTGTGTTTCGGATACTCAACGGGTCATTTTGGAACTTAGAGAAATTGCAGAAAATTGCAGCAACCCAGTTCTGGTTTCCTTCTTCGCGTTCGCGAGTGGGGTCTCGCGTTCGCGAAGAGGAGCTGGGGCTGGGGGGAGGTTAATGCTTCACGTTCGCGAAGTTTTTCCCGCGTTCGCAAAGGAGGGGGAGATTGTGCATCGTGTTCGCGACCAGGACATCGCGTTCGCGATGAAGGAAACTGGACCCAAGTGCAGCTGTGCTTTGCGAACGCGAGGGTCCTTTCGTGTTCGCGAAGAAGGAAGTACCTGGGCAGTATTTAAATAGCCAATCCACGACCCTTCTTTATTTTTCCACCATTTTTGAACGTGACTGAAGCTTTTGAGGGAGATTTTTGAGGAAACCAAAGGAGAATCACTTGGAGATAATATTCTTGACTTCATAACTCATTTATATGTGATTAAAGGTCTAATTAGTGGTAAAAGATTAGGAAAAAGTCAGTGCAAAATGGGTAATTAGGGCTTGCGATTAAAAGACCTTAAAATGGGTATTTGAGGGGTCAATTGAACTTCGATTTCAGTGTTCTTGATATGTATAGACTCGTGAGAGTATGAAGATTCTGAAATTTTAAATGTTACCCGATTTTGAGACGTGGGCCCGAGGGGCATTTTGGTTATTTTACCTAATTTCGCGTATTAGCTTCAGTTACTTGAAGTGTTATTTACATTATGCAATTGAATTGAATAGATTTGGGCCATTTGAAGTCGAGTACTCATGGTAAGAACGTGATTTCGGGTTGATTTTGAGTCAGTTCGAGGTAAGTGGCTTGCTTAACCTTGTGGGGGGGAAATTCCCCTTAGGATTTGGTATTATTGATAATTAAAATGCCTTGTACGTGAGGTGATGAGTGCGTACTTGTGCTAATTGTTGAAAAATAGGATTTTCATTAAGTAATTAGTAGTATGTTTCTTTCCCTGTTTATACTACTTGCAATTTAGGCCTGTTGTTAGCTTAGGAAAGCATGTCTAATTGACTTAATTGCCTTACTTGCTCAACTGCCTTATTTGGATTACGTGCAACATGCTAGGTTAGAAATTCATGTTTTGCCGTGGTATGGAACTTGAATTGCACTGTGTACTTTTCTTGTTGTTGCTACTGTTTACTTTGGGACTACGGGACGGTATCCCGGGAGATCCCCCTATATGTTTACTTTGGAACTACGGAACGATATTCCAGGAGATCCCCCTGCACATTTACATTGGAACTACGGGACTGCACCCGGTAGATTCCCTATGTACTGAGTATTTACATTTGGGACTACTGTAAGCACGTGATTTTTGACCCTCCCCGAGAATTTTCACATTTTTAGCGTGAATATGTGAAATTGGGTCTAGTATAGCTATTTTAACTATTTTACTTTATTTTGTTGCAAAAAGAA